AGAAAAAGAAAAAAAGAAAAAAAGAAAAAAAGAAAAAAACTAAGGAAGGCCAAGAAAAAGGAAATAATAATAAGGAGGTATGGGTTACCAAACCAACCGGAAGTTCGTTTCCAGGCCACCGACGTTTCGAACTTTTGATATAGGCTTGTGGAGCAATGTTGCTATAAACACGCAAAGTGTGGGGAGGAAACATAATGGACATGAAAAACTCTGGAAGGATGAATGACCCAAAGACTGGGACAGATACTGCAAGGATCGTCCAAGACTGACTGTCTAGAACCATGAAAAAAGCAACGGATACCCTAATCAGGGTTATCTTGCTGCGGGAAGGCACTTGGATCCATAACTCACACTGAGGGCGGATTACAACACCACTTACGATGCCGAGGCTGCTATTGGAGGATAGCCTTCCCGCAAAGAAGGGAAGCCGGGGTAACCGTCGCTTCCCCGGCATTGGCTGGGAAAGACACCCATCGTGAGCTCATTAACAATACAACCCATGCAAAAACTCTCAATTGAAGCCAGATTTTCTCGGCATTGATTGTATCAATTGAATTCCATATCCTGTACAATTGGCATCACCATTTGTCTCCTTTTCTTTCCTTTTTTTTTTTCTTTGCTTGTTGCCCCATTTTTTGTTCAATTTTATTGACCGCCACGAACTCCTATTGCGAGGACACTGATACCGAAATCTGATCCAGTATCTGCCAATTCTCGGTCACCCCATACTCGGGAATCCCGCGCTGAGTGGGCCATTCCACAAACCTAATGATCGTCATCCCTCGATCAACTGACCAATCTGTCTTACCGTTCTCGGCCATGAACCATCGTCCGAACAAGAGCTCACGATGCTTTCTCAGACACAACCACACCCACAATTTCACTTCGGGGTTATTTGTCCAATGCCGCTCCATGCCGGTTTATCCCCTCATCCCTGTGGCAAGGCTCTACCATTATAATCTGTGCATGGACTAGACCCTGTACCATGGGTCCTCCCAGGCATTGAATTGGATCGGGGTCACCCTGAAGTCATCGTGAAAGCAATCTAGAATCCAATCGCGGACCCATCTGGGTATCACGCGGCCGTCTCGATTTTTTCTGCTGGCCTTGATTCGCATTCTCCTGCGCAGGACCTACGATGTTCGCTTTCGGTTGTTATGTCTTACTCCCACGCGGTTTGCTCCCTCTGGGACTATAAACCCCAGGCCCTCCTCCGTAGATAGTATGGTTACCAAGCGATTGAGACTTTTTATTAATTTGTGGTAGCATTTACTCCTGTTGTGCTATTTCTGTCTCATTTTATCACTGGCGTCTCTGTTTAATTTTTAATTCCTCTTAATTCACCACCACCGTAGCCATGCGCTCTACCCTATCCCAGACGCTGTTCCAAGCAGGCCGTTCATGGCAACCAAGCAAAATGCTCCGCCCACTCACACGACTCTCGTATTCCACAACTACCACTACCCATGGGGCGCATCACATCCAAACGCGGATGCCTCCAAAGGACTCAATCAAGAATGGGCATCGCTTTAAGGAATTCGACCTCAATGACCGCGTTTATGCCATCACCGGCGGTGGAAGAGGACTCGGTCTAGCCATGGCCGAAGCCCTAATGGAAGCCGGCGCCAAAGGTACCTCCCCAACTTGCTCACCAAATTCGCCTAGCATCCATATTAACCAACCATGGCATCTAGTCTACTGCCTCGACCGCCTCGAAAACCCCCACCCAGACTTCATGGCCGCAAAAGAGCACGCAGAAACCAATTATGGCGGCAGCCTGGAGTACTACCGAATCGACGTCCGCGACGACGCAGAAGTAAACAACGTGTTCGCCGAAATTGCCGGTCAGAACAAACGCCTGGACGGTCTGATCGCCGCAGCCGGAATCAACCACCTCCAGAGCGCCCTCGAGCACTCCCAAACCGCGATGAACGAAGTCATGCAGATTAACTACAACGGAGTGTTTAACTCCGCCACCGCCGCCGCCCGCCAGATGTTCAACTACCAGCAGAAGGGATCTATCCTACTCATCGCTAGCATGAGCGGCCTCATCGCCAACAAGGGCATGACTTCCCCTGTCTACAACTCCTCCAAAGCGGCTGTCATTCAGCTGGCTCGCTCTCTCGCAATGGAATGGGGCCGTCACGGTATCCGTGTGAACAGTCTCTGCCCCGGTCACATCATCACCCCCATGGTCGAGCAGGTGTTCCAGCAGAATCCGGCTTCGCGGGCCGTCTGGGAGGCAGAGAATATGCTTGGACGATTGGCGTACCCTGAGGAATTCAGAGGCGCTGCCCTCTTCGCTCTCAGTGATGCTAGCAGCTTCATGACCGGAAGCACGATGCTCATTGATGGTGGCCACACCGCCTGGTAAATTCCTTGTGTATATTGACACAATAAACAAAAGACAGCCTTATCATATACATAATATGGTTAATAATTGGGGGAAATGGTATAAACAGGGGTCAACGGAAAAACACGGGTTTGTTTGGCGCGGGTTGCTTGTATAGCCTTTTTGTCTTGTCGGAATCTTGAGCACGCGTGTTTTTGTGTCGCATTCTATGCTTGCTGGTTTGATTGCATAGTGGGTTGATCGCGTTCTTCTAACATACCTTTTTTTTTTTTGCGGCATGTATTTTGCATCAATATACATATGAGCTCATAATTGGATTTCCAATTAGTCTTCTTGCTTCAATTATTCATCCTAGAGGTTCTTATAAAGGTTTTGGTGTTGATAGCTGGGGCTTTTGCTATTGGACCTTTTGTATTATCCGAGGTGTTTAAGCAAGTAAATGTGACATTTTATATCAAATCGTATCTAGTCCTTACATAACCAACCTAAACAAGTTTTACCTTAGAGGATATACGTATATTTCTCCTCCACGCGACGCCCAGTATTCCTCCCACTTATAAGCACCTCGCTCTCCTCCCCACCATGCATCTCAATCTCATCTCCCTCTGCCTCAACCTTGCGACGCAACCTTAGCAGCATAACCCTCAAGACGAACGCCAAAACTGCCACAACAACCATGAAGAACGAACAAGTCGCCATCCCGCGGACATACCATGGACCATCAACACTAGGGTACAACCTCGTCCCGAGGAGCGGTCCACACTGACCAATCACATTCATAATGGCGATACTCGCGCCTTTACCTTCTTTGGCGACGCGGTTGTCCATAGTCCAGGTCATGATCAGGGTGATGGCAGAGAAGAACCCCGCTGTTGCGGGGTAGACGCAGAGGTATCGAATGGTGGTGTGTGCTGCTGCGGGGAGGCGTGCGTGGAAGTGACCTGTTAAGGCGATGATAAGGTAGGATGCTGAGGAGAGAAGAGCGTGCGTGATGAGGTAGGGGCTTCTTTTGCGGTTGCGGTCGGAGAGGTAGGCTGTTAGAAGGACTACAATGAAGGCGAAGAGGAAGGGCGGGGCGGAGAGGGCTTGTGAAGTTACGGAGGAGTAGCCCATGCTGTTTTTTTATGTTAGCCTTAGATGTTGGGTAGGTGTTGATTTTGTGTATGCTTACTCTTTTATGATGGTGGGGAGGAAGACGGGCATGGAGCTGAATGCTACATTGCAGCTTAAGAACATGAACTAGTAGATATCTTGTTAGTGGAGGGAGTTTTGGTTGTTGATGTGAGATCTATCAGGGCTTACAGCTGTAATGTAGGACTTGGGATCGGCTAATGTGGTTCTGACTTCCTTCCAGTTGAACTTCCCTAGACGTGGCTCGTGGTGGTTTGGTTTGTTCTCTTCCATTCGTAGCTCGGCTACCATTCTCTGGCGCGGTCCCAGAAACCAGGCGCTGCCGGGTGAGTCTGGGATCACGATCCAGGCGAAAACTGCGACGATCACGCTTGGAAATCCTTCTACTAGGAACAGTGTGCGCCAGGGCGCTATTGGGCCGTTGCTGCTCATTTTGACAATCACCCAAGCGAGGCTACTTGCAAACGATGAAGCCAGGGGTGCCGCAGAAATGAACAGTCCGTTTCGAAATGCGAGCTCTTCTCGTTTGTAGAAGAGTGATAGGTAGAATGGGACGCCCGGGCCAAACGCCGCTTCTGTGATCCCAAGAAGGGCGCGCAGGAGGACAAGACCCCCGAATGAAGTAGCCAGAGATTGGAAACATGCAACGAGGCCCCATCCGCATACGCAGAGTGAAATGTAAATATGCGGCGGGACAAGACGATACATTAGAGTCATCCATTCAAAGAGTATATAGGTGATGTAAAATGCTGTAAGAAGCCATTCATATTGCGAGGATGAAAGCTTAAGATCATCTGTCATGCCAGCAATTTTGGCATTTCCAATATCTGAGTCGCTGTTAGCTTGCTATATGTATATTATGACCTGTGATTTGGGGCGGCGGTCTCGCTGCTTTCTGACATGATATGTCATCACTTACTAGACCGATCCAAGAAAGAGAGTAGATAGAGTAGCGCTAAGAATGGAACTAGTCGGCGATCGAATTTTTTCACGATCTGCTTCTCTTCTATTGCCGTATACTTCGGGAAGCCCGTATCAGGCTTCTCTCCAGAATCGTCGTAGGAGTCGTATCCATCGTCACGATCGTCTCCGTCGGCACTAAATTGCGTTTGCACTTTCAATGAGCCCGGAGGTGGGCGGCTTGGGGGCCCAAATTCATCTTCAGATCTGTCGGATACAGGTGTATACTGAACGGGTGAGGGCGTCGTGTTACTAGACGTGGAATACGCGGCCTCGGTCGGCTGAGGAAACAAGGAGGCCATTTCAGGAAGCATGGGAAAGTACACCGTTAGCAGCTCAAGGCAGCATCTCTCTTCAAACAAAATAAGCCACAATTGCAGCTCCAACTTTACAATCCCCAGCCTGCATTTGGCGTATAACGAGGTAGTATCGTGTTGGGGGGCAGTAGAGATACAGTACCTATTGCGTATGTATGGAATTCCCGATCAGGAGAGGGCACGTGGTTCACACTAGCGTTGTGATTTGCGCCAAGACGTGTGGGAGAAGGAATATGTTGAAAGAGCATGCACTGCATTCTTTCTACTTATGGTACTTTACAATGCTTCGCCCATCCCTCCGTTTCATACTAATGTACAAACACGTTACAAGATGAAACTAACTGAGTAACAGACAGATCAGAACGCACTTCAACTCCCAGCAATCAATCCAGCCCATGTTAAAGTTAGTATGCAAATGTATTCACCCCCCCCCCCCCCCCTCTCCTCCCACAGCCAAACCACAAGCGAAGAGAAAACACACATGGTCTGAGGGTCATTTCCCAGGACGGTATGAGTCGAGGGCCCGCCGCTTCCTCCTACGACCATGTCTCTCAACACCTTCGTCGAAATGCCTCTTTCGACCACCTGTAAGCTGTGTCGCCTTATCCCTGGCAATCAGGAAGACCTGCTCTACATCCGGGATAGAGGTATGGTCTGACAGTCCGTTCGCATGAAGATAGCGAAGAATATTTTCGGCCGTGTCTCGAAGAAAACGAACTGTCTCGATGCCAACAAACCCCTCCGTTTGCAAAGCTTTGTAGTACTCATCCTTGGCGCGGTGGTAAACCTCCAAAAGCCTATCAACTCGGTCGAAAACTTGCTGTGCGTGTCTTGTCGAATTGGTCTTCAACTCGATCTGTTCCACGTAGTGATGATCGTTGTGATCCCTGGGTTCATGTTCAGGGTTAAGAGGTGCCTGGTCAACAAACAATGTCTCAGGCTGCTCCTTATGGCCGATAACTATCTCTGGCGTAGAACCATGGGTGGAAGCTAAGACGCTACAATTAAAGAAGCTCTTTGAACGGAGAAATACGATGGTACACACCTCTGCTCAGTACATTTTCCAGCTCGAGCTGTTTAGCTAGTATAGCTCTACTCTGAGATGCAGGCGAGATAGGAACAATGCCGAGAAATTCAGTTAGATAAAGCTCAAGTGCACCGGTGTCAGTCAAGTTTTCTCCATTTCTGCTGAGCTTCAGTAGGGCCCGGTCGTAGGTGGTTATCTGACCATCCTCGAAAGCCTGTGAGCGGCACTTGATCAAAGAGACCTGGCGTCGAAGCGCGTTGAAGAGAAGCGATGCCTGTTCCGGGCTTCCGAGGATTTCACGGAGGATATCATTGGTGCTTTGTTGATCGATCGTGTAGTATTTGCGCACCAGCTCGTCGACTGTCCTTTCTGGGTCGACTCTTCTTTCTCGATGAATTCTCCAGGGGGATGGAAGCCAGGAGGACGCCATGGCTGTTGATTGACAAGGAGAGTTGAGGATAATAGAAATGAAAAGGGCGCAGTTACCAAGGAAAAATATTAGTGAGTGGGTAGAATTAATAAATTAGTATGCATTGAGTATGAGTGAAAGCAGAGCAGGTAAACACGGATGACTTCCATGAAGCATACTAGAAACACAATAAAATATCCTGTTGCTGGGACCCTGGATAGCAACAGGATAACTTCTGTGCTAGTAAGGGTGAATGGTTGCTGTGCCAAATGTGCACGATTACTTTTCTGTAAACGATGCAATGTGGAGGGGAGATGAGAGTATATGGCGTGCATATGTGAAAGATAGTCCTGTGTGATTTGCGCCGTATTTTGCATGGCAGAAAACTGAAATGAAGTATCTTCTCGACCAAACAAGAAGAGAAAAAAGAAACAGATTCTTTTAGACATTATGAATTAGCGAGCATCAATATCTGCAATAAACAATGCTTATATATAACGCGGATATCATCTTAATACTGTCACCTGCAGAGATGCGAGCTGAAGCTGTAACCAGCACCCCTTGGAGACGATTTTCATAAATCATAAAAACCATGCTGCCATCATAGCCCTTCCATAACACTTAGTTCTTCTCTTGCCAGAGTCTTTCGATTTCCTCCACGAGTGTAGATACTTGACTGCCCTCCCCCTCCTTAGCGCAGTTCTTCCATTCTCCGTCATCACGGACACACCAAACAGAGTCATCCAGCCGGACAGTACAACTCGTATGAACTTCAAGGTCTGCACTATGGGCGGCACTTTGACGCAACAAAGCGAGGCCACTTAAGTCACCATTGTTGGGATCATCCTCCTGCCTGCTAACGCAGTTGTTCAAAGATTCAAAATCAATACCATGTTGTAAGGCGCAGTTTTGAACCAGTGCGCGGTCCGGGATAGCCTCGTACTGGCCGACAAGACAATTCGCAAATCCGAGGGAACGGATGGTAGGCATGCGAGTAGTTTTCTCAGTCTCACCCTCGGGTGAGAAGGGGAGGTCTTGAGCGCAAAGCATAAGCATGTCGCCAATGCATTCGCCAGGGCCGTGTTTGCAATGTACATCAGATGATTGATTAGTGACGCTAGATGCCGGTTAGTTCCGTAGGCTACAATATTATATAGAGATCGCCCTGCCTACACACCTTGCAATGAAGGACAATTCAAAATCGACTTTCTCACTGATACGCTCCATAGTAGGAACGACCAATTTCTGGAGACAGTCCTGCGCGTCTGGACATTTGCTCATAATATGGGCCTCAAGCGGGACCTTGTTACTTGATGCCAGCACAAATGTCTCACCACCCTTCGGGGGGGATAAAAGTGCACCGAGTTTTCCCCTCATCTTGTGACAGGCAGAGAAATTGATGTTTGGGATGGCGAAGAACACGGTGCTTAGCGTGAGCAATGACATTAAGCTCAAGGCAACTGCGAGCTGAGAAATGCGACCGCGTCGGGCACGTATCGGGGTCACATCGGGAGAAGTTGGGATCTCAACATAATGGTATTGGCCATAAGGCCGGTTTTCTGACTTCTCCATAGTTACCACTTAACTGGTGAGTATTCGTTGTGAAATGTGACGGGTAGCTATGGCGCGTAAGGGTTAGATAAAGGAAGTAGAAATAATCAAGAACCTCGATGGAGTCTTCTTTTCCATTAAGATCGAATCATGGGACACTTGAGTGGCCAATCGTTACGCAATACGTCTGTCAGTTGTCCCCGCCATACCTAATTTGTCTAGGTACACCCATACCGCCTACCTAATTCAAACACTCAACCTCTCTACTAGTAGGTAGCAAGGCGGCTTTCCAATTGATAATACGTGATTACCTCGTGGGCTCGAGGAAAGGGCCTCTCCCCTTGTATACTGCGACAATAGTATCTCTATCTAAATGGCTTCTAGGATGATGATAACGTATAGGGGCCTCTACATATTTTTTTTGATCGAAAATAATCGCTTGGGATGGTATGATGAGCATGAATTCCTAGCCCCGCCAAAGATGAGGGAGTGTTCAATTAGGTAGCTCCGCCAGCAAATGCCGAACTCCGGTTCAGCCCCACTGGACAAATGAACGGTACCTATTTCGGTAGCTCTCGTTATAGTCCAAGTAACTTTCTTTTCCTGTGTCTTCTTCAACATTCTGGACATCTATGCGCGGCACCAAAATGTTATGACTATCGGGCCTTTCACTGCATAATTCTGAACCCTTGACACCTTTCTGCGTTTCCACATATGTAGCGTCCTCAATCGAATGTAAAATTTATACTATCGAGCGTGATTACCCTTCATTAGTGGGATTAAAGCCCAAAACAACCCAATTGCCTGCGGCATTGGAACCATTTAAATTCAGGCACATAAATGATGTGGTTTTGTAATGGTACCAGATAGTAGACTACAGAAGTACGCCTGATATTTCGTCTTGAATTCAATAACACAATGAAGACCGAATCCTTGCTACAAGAGTGCTCCTTAGCTGGCTATAAATACACAACTTTTAAAGAATGGTCAAGTGGAGTGAACGCTTCTAGTTTCAGCTACTCCTTCACAATGAAATTATATATCCCAGCGTGTCTAGAAGATATACAGAATGGCTTGGATCGGTTATGTGGAGTCTTGAGCGCCTTCCAATGCTTGATATGGCATAGAGCTATGTATATGCCTTGATTTTACTGTACGGTATACATTATCCACACAGGGGAAACAGTTAAGGAAATGTTTTGTGATAGGATATCATATAGTAGCAGCAGATCTCAGTGATACCCACATGCAGACCCACCTACGGTTTTTCTTTTCTCCTATCAGTACTTTTGGAACTACTTACTCCTCTGTCAAGCCAACACATTCTGCGACAAAACCCACTTCCTGTACACCTGGAAGGAGGAACAACGCACGATGTCTGACAATATTTCTTCTTGATCCCTTCTCCATGGTCCATCCGAGCCAGCCCTAAAATCATACTCTATTGGGCAACTCCTCAACCAGCAGGCAACCCACTTCCCAACCAAGGAGGCAGTCATCTTCCCAACTGAGGGTGTTAGATACACCTATCAAGAGTTGAATTCCAGAGTACGAATTGTTTCCCGCGCACTCGTAGCGCGTGGAATCAAAGCCGGTGACCGTATCGGCATCTTCTGCGGTAACTGCGTGGAATATGCAGAGGTTTTCCTAGCAGCAACTGGGATCGGGGCGATTACAGTATTGCTCAATAATGCATACTCAACTACGGAATGCCTAAATGTACTCAGAACTACCGGTAAATGATTCATTGTCTTTTGTTCCACCTGGGAGAGACAATCTTACTAATGACATAGGGTGCTCGTTGCTTTTCACTGCAACACATACCGGACAGTGTGACTTGGCATCTTGTCTCAGGACGCTCAAAGCTTCGTTGGATGGAGATGAAATCCCTGATTTGAAGCAAATCGTTCTATTAAAGATGGATGGCGATGCCCCGAGAGCAGTTCCAGTCTTTTTGACAGCTTCCTCGGCCTGTCGAGCAACATACTCGACACTCTGTGAGATAGAGCAACAAGCCCAACCCGATCAGACCTGCACTTTCCAATTCACAAGTGGCACGACCGGTGCCCCTAAGATCGCCATGCTGACACATAGCTATTACTCCGGAGTATGAAGACCTTTCTCTCTACAATACTGATATGTGAATAGAAACGTCATCAGCAATGCCCATTCCATCGGCTATCGTCTACGACTATCAGAAAAGAACGTCGTCTGCTGTCCCTACCCTCTATTCCACATTTCCGGGCTAGTAATAGGCCTACTCTCCTGTCTGACATACGAAGCCGCAATTGTATACCCGTCACCCACATTTGACCCTTCGGTCGTACACCACAAAGTCGTGCGAGAAAATTGCACAGGGTTTCATGGTGTGCCGAACATTTTCATTGCTCTCCTTGAACGATATCGTCAGCTCAAGAATGGTCCAATCCACCTCAGAACGGGTCTTATAGGCGGCGCACCAGTCCCCGCAGCTTTACTTAAGGAGATGCATAAGGAATTCGGGTTTGAAGATTTGACGGTGGCTTATGGTAAACTCCTCTCCTTGTCTATTTAGAAGTTTACTTCTTTAATACATGAACTAGGAATGACTGAAACATCCCCGATCAGCTTCAGGTCTCGATCAGCAGAGCAGCTGAGTGATGCGGTAGTGCATAGAGATATCCTTCCTCACCCATTTGCCAAAACCATCGATTCATCGAGGAATATTGTGCCACAAGGAATACGCGGCGAACTCTGTATCGCGTAGTCCGGCGTGCAAAATGGATACTATCAGAATCCTGAAAAGACTCGTGAGGCGCTTATAACTGATCCCTCCGGGGTTGTGTGGATGCCATTTCTCAGTCTTGTGTCGTCGGGGTCAAGACAAAACTTTAGGCGAGGAAGTGGTAGCTTTTCTACAAAGCACTCCCGGTCAGCCGCGCCCTTCTGCTTCTGAGATCATTGAGTGGTTACAATTGAGCCTGGGGGCCCAGAAAGCACCCGCATGGGTCTTCTGGTTGGGAGATGGCGATGTGCCTGTTTTCTTTCCGATTACTGATAGTGGGAAGATCAAGAGGAATGAGATGGCGGATTTAGGAAATAGGCTTAATGGAAAATATAGAGAAGGTACCAAACTTGATGGTGGGGTTAATGGGGCATCGAACAATGTTACTGGTACATAATAGTAATTAGCAGTAGGGTATACTGCGTTCATCTATTCAGAACACCAAATCGAGTTTTTTGCAACACGTATTAAATTTGCCCGGCAATCCACAATGAGACCGATCCCTTGTGGAGAAAAACTGGAGTATGGATTCGAGTGAAGTTCTAGAAGCCCGTGAATGAAGAAAGGAGTGGATACTGGTTGAATATGCCGTCATCTTCAGGTCCGGCAAAAGTCCGGTTCTGCGGTAAAACTCCGGACTGTAGCTATCGCCGTCCACAACTATATAGAGCCCTATATCCCATTCATCAAGGGAACAGACTACCCTTTATTATTTGGACAAGTTCAAAGTCTTAAAAGATACAAACCAATAACAATGGCCGATATTCCTATAACAAGTACGTACATCTCTACCCCGCCGACATGATAGATCCCAACTCTGACATGACCAGATCCAAGCTCAATCCACACTGGGCCCTTCCCATCAATTAGCTGCCCATTGAACTCAAAAGAAACAAGATTAGAGACACTCTCTTCCAAACCACCACTTGAATCAATTCTCAATACCTACGACTTCGAAAAAGTCGCCTCCCAAGAACTAAGCCGTAAGACCTGGGCATTTTATTCATCCGCAGCTACGGACATGATCACACGAGATGCCAACAAAGCCATCTATGATCGTATCCTGCTCCGGCCAAGAGTCCTCCGGAATGTCAATAAAGTCAATCTCCGGACTACCATTCTCGGATGCGAAACCGGTCTACCATTATTTGTCAGTCCCGCAGCCATGGCGAAGATGGTTCATCCCGACGGCGAACAGGCGATCGCAAAGGGTTGTGCGAAATACGGCGTTGGCCAATGTGTGAGTTATGCTTACTTTAAGGTCCGGTGATACCTACTGACGATAAGACTAGATTTCTACGAATGCATCATATACAGTGTCTGATATCACAGCCTGCGCGCCTGGTCACCCTTTCTTTTTCCAGTTGTATATCAATCGGGACCGTGTTGCATCGGAGCAGCTTCTTCGGCAAGTTGAAAAGAGTGGGATTAAGGCTGTTTTTCTCACGGTTGATGCGCCGGTTGCAGGGAAACGGGAAGCAGATGAGCGAGTCGGGGCTGACGCCTCGGAGATTATATATACAGCACCTATGACTGGGGCACAAGGTGTTGGTGATGCAAAAGGCAGTGCGCTGGGCAGAACGATGGGAAGATATATTGATGCTAGCTTCACATGGGAGGATTTGAAGTGGCTTCGACAGTCAACATCCCTGCCTATCGTGTTGAAGGGCATTCAGACGGCCGAGGATGCCTTGATGGCAATGGAACATGGAGTCGACGGGATCGTTGTGAGCAATCACGGTGGGAGAAGCGTAGACACGTATGTTTATATCAATTGTACCGGTGGAACAAGGCTAACTTGAGTGAATAGGTCGACGTCATCGATAGCGGTATTGATGGAAATTCGTCAATGCTGTCCTCAAGTATTTGAGCATCTCGAAGTCTATGTCGATGGTGGGATCCGTCGCGGGACTGATATTTTTAAAGCTATCTGCTTGGGAGCTAAAGCCGTGGGAATGGGAAGGCAGTTCTTGTACAGCCTCACATATGGACAAGAAGGTGTGGAGCGCTTAATTGAGAGTATGTGTTGGTCCTTTCCCATGCGACGATTGCTGCTAACGAACGCAGTCATGAAAGACGAACTTGAGACCACGATGAAGCTGTTGGGCATTACAGATCTCTCGCAGGCACATCCCGGACTCCTTAACACTCTAGATGTGGATCATTTGATTCCAAAGAGACTTGGGGAATCGTATAGCGGCCCGGTAGTCAAAGCAAGACTGTGATGGTAGACTGTGATGGTCATACAGGTCATTAGGGGAACACTCCCCGAAACTTTATACCAGTGAATATCTAATGAATAAGTTGAACTGTATAGAATAGAAATTGAGGTCCGACTGAGGGGCTATATGCCCAGCTCAAAGTTATCTGCTGCCATCTGACCGAGAAGTGTCTCATCGAGTCCGAAGCCAAAAGTCCCTCCGAGATCGTAGAAATTATAATCCCCTGCCCAGAACGCATTAGCATCGTTAGATTCGGAAGGCGAGGCAGGAAAATGGTCTATGTCGCCACCATCTATCCGATTATCAAGATCGGTTGTCTCACTCCCATCTAGAGCACGAAATTGTTGCAGCATCTCAAGCATTCCTGTCGCTATATGTTTCGCAATGTGACGCTCATTGAGGCTCATAGCAACATTTGTCAGCATGTCAGCAGAGCGCTGAACAAGAGAGACAACATGTCTTGTATTTACAGCCAGACCGGATTGCGTCGAGCTCTTCCCCCATGTGGCAGCCATTTTCAAAAGAAACGTTGCGCAGAACGCAACCATGGTATAAGTAAAGATGGGAACACCAGGAAAGGCACGACGAAGGTCGTCATCTTCTAATATCAGGGTGAGTGTACTTGTAGCCGCCGCAATGGCTGCATTGGCAGCTACCCGATGCGCCAGTGATAGAGGGCTCTTAGAGGTAAGTTCAGGATTAGATGTCAAGCCAGAAGGACTAATACCACGCAAAACAAGTGAATTCAACTGGAAGCGGGCAAAGTGATAGTACAGTACCAACGCTTTTGAGGGATAGGATCCCAAGGTAGCACAGTCCTTTGAGCGAGGTTGCCACTGTGATCTCCACTGATCAATTGCCGCGTTAGAAACCCATAGCTTATCGAAGTCTCTATCTTCTAGTGGTCGGTCTGGTTCATTCCCAAAAGCCACGTAGGCCTCTGTTAAAATTGCGAATAGTGCAACTTGTGCGGCCAATCTCGCATCGCCAGGATTTACCTCTGTCGTATGCATGAATCGCTCAATATTTCGGATGGATTCATCATCAACCGCCGCCGGTGGACGGCCGTGGGCGATGCTGAACTGATGATCACAAACATAAGTTGCATACCAAAGACAGACACGGTCACGCTGCATATTATCGCCCTGTATCAACTTTTGATACGATTGATGTAAGCCAATCTCGGCCGCAATACGCGTGGCCTGTCCTGAAAGCTTCCAGCTGAGATTTGCGAGATAAAATGCTCCAATGCAAAGCGCCCGAACATCATCGACGCTATGATTACGAGACAGTGATGAGCTGCAGACCAGTGAGACAAACACGTCATAGCTCTGGTGAAATGCTTCGGTTTTCTCGGGAGTATGCAAGGCACCGATGGTAAGGACTACGGCTGCCAGCAGCGTTGAAGCACGTCGAACAGAATCTAACGTGCGATAAAACGGTAGTATGCCATCCCATAATAATCTATTGTTGATACGCATGAAGCGATCGAAGAGGTATTCAGCCTCTGCAAGTGTAACCACCCCTTGAGAGATGAAGTCATCATGAATCAAGGAGGAATTCGGCTTCCATCCTGCATTAACGCGCAGGTTCTTCAGCCTAGTAAGTTCGTACAGATTGCGCATAGGCACTGTAACGAGACTGGATGAATTGTCTTCTTGCAGCTGGGGGGAATTTTCTCTTGACATGTCCATTGGAGCCATGGACGGCTCGTTTACATTTTGGGACTCCGCGCAAGGGCGTGGTGAGCCAACCACTTGACCATTTGAGAATGTCCATAGCTCCGGTTGTTTAGTTTTCTGTAACAGATGGGTAACAGCGGCTCGTAGAAGTGTAATATCTGCTGTTGTTTGTAATTTCCAACTGCTATGTGTTAGAGATAATGTTGATAAGTTACGATTTAATCTTACTCACGCTGAGTCCTCCTGTAAGAATTGCTGAGATATGTCATGTGAAATGCAATCTAGATTATGGCGAATACATCTATTGCATGATGTTTCACCTGGATTTGTTTCACATTTCGTCTTTTGCTTCTTACATTCCATGCCTATTGTACTAGGTCGTTAGCACCGCCGTCAGCCGAAAGATTTCTTGACGTACACACTCGACTCCTTGTTAAGCGTAGGCCTCTCCTGCTCGAGACTCGAGACTCTTCATCTCCATCTGAGTGCTGTCTTTTTCTCGGCATGATGACGGTTGCATTGTCATTGGTGAATAATAATAGTTAGTCGAAGTGCAGGCAGTGCTCAGTGCTACTACTTTAGTCGGCAGTCCAGCTGAAATGCCCAGTCTGTGCCCAGCCCAAAGTGGAGGGTTTCCCAAAGAAGTTTAGCGTGATATGGACGGTTTGTTGACCCAAAGTTCTGCTGGATAGGTAGTAAAGAGCCTTGTATTTTACAAAGCCCCTTAAAGCTGATATGTGTAAGTGGTGAAAACGATAGTAAGACAAAGTACGCGATAGATCGGTATGTATATAAGGTACAAGAGCCATTCAACCGGATGCATACATACATGCGGCATCGAAACTACTACTAGTAGGTAGAGAGTCGATCCCTTATCTTGTTGGTTAGTATACGTAACATCCCAGTAAGTCGCGTAAATTATTGATGGCAGCTACTAGCTGCTGTAGCCCATGCCTTAATTTACGCTGACGATTACAAGGCTGTAGATGATGAGGTCCTTGGTTCAATCCCGCGTGGAGGCACTTTTTTTTGCCGCTATGCGAGACAAGAAGAACTCCCTACCCTGTCCACCATAATGTTGCAAATGTATTATGAGCAACTACCTCAATCGTTACCAGAACCCGTCATTTAGAAAGAAACTGAGTGAATTCAAGCTATTTCAACTTACCCTTGAGGCGATCGGCTGAAACCACTATCACAAAGAATTCCACCCGTATAACTCCTGTGGATAGCCCCAAGCTCGAGAGAGATATGGAAGGAAGTCGAGTGCCAGCATCAGGGAAG